ACGGGTAGGGCACGAGATCACGGGTATGGCACGAGATCACGGGTAGGGCACGAGATCACGGGTAGGGCATGAGATCATGGGTAGGGCATGAGATCATGAGATCACAGGTATGGCATGAGATCACAGGTATGGCATGAGATCACAGGTATGGCATGAGATCACGGGTAGGGCATGAGATCACAAGTAGGGCATGAGATCACAGGTACGGCATGAGATCACAGGTACGGCATGAGATCACAGGTATGGCATGAGATCATGGATAGGGCATGAGATCATGAGATCACAGGTACGGCATGAGATCACAGGTAGGGCATGAGATCACAGGCAGGGCATGAGAGCACGTGTACGGTGCAGGCCTGTCAGCAGGGCTGTACCACTAACCAGACCGGACTCCCCTGGTGCCGACACAGGTTCAGGAGCTGGTTTGTGATGTGTGCGAGGACCCATGGTTCTGGGTCTGGGCTCCCCCCGGGAGTTGGAAAGGATGTCACTTCTGTCAGAGGAACTACCCTTTCACCAGCAGAGTGCAATGCTTTACCAGATAGCATTTTGGTTTTAAGCCTTTATACTTCAGTCGTGCATATTTGAGTCTTCAAGGGTGATAATGCTGATTTGGATCCCTCTGGAGCACCTGTGCTCCAGAGCCCGCAGGTGCCCACCATCTACTCACCGGTGGTGCCTAAGCCCTCTGATCGCCCATTCCTTCCACTCCTCCTATTGCCCTTCCCCATCTGCTTCCCTTGGGCCTGGATTCTTTGCAAAATTGGTTTTCAAAATAATAAAAATAAGACACTTGTTGCAAAACATTCAAATAGTACAGAATAGCATACATCAAAAAATACAAATTCCATTCTTGATCTCCACCTTCTTTAATTCGACTCCCAGAGAAAACCACCATTATAGTTTCTTGTGAAGACTTCCAGGCCTTTCCTCTGCATGTGTGAGTGCATAGAAGGATGTCCTTTTTGATTGTATGAACATGGGATCCTGTTATGTGAGCTGTGTGTGTGGAGACTTCCCTCCTTCCCTCTGATGGCTGTGTGCTCTTCTCCTGCATGGTCACGTCATGCTCTGGAAAACCAGCACCCTCCTGGTGGCTCATGCCTGTAATCCTGGCACTTTGGAAGCCCGAGGCAGGAGGATGGGTTGAGCCCAGGAGTTTGAGATCAGCCTGGGCCACATAGTAGGACACTGTCTCTACAAAAAATACAGAAATTAGGGCCAGGTGCAGTGGCTCAGGCCTGTAATCCTGGCACTTTGGAGCCCGAGGCAGGCGGATCACGAGGTTAGGAGTTTGAGACCAGCCTGGCCAACATGATGAAACCCCGTTTCTACTAAAAATACAAAACATTAGCTGGGCATGGTGGCACGTGCCTGTAATCGCAGCTACTCAGGAAGCTACGACAGGAGAATCACTTGAACCTGGGAGTCAGAGGTTGCAGTGAGCTGAGATAACACCACTGTACTCTAGCTTGGGCAACAGAGCAAGACTCAATCTCAAAAAACAAACAAAAACCAAAAATTAGGCTGGGCATGGTGGCTCATGTCTGTAATTTATATAATGCATATACCAATTTATATCCTGCATATACCAGTATCTCTATCCATCATCTATATAAAAACCCTCCAATTACAATGTAATGCCACAGGATTAATTTTAGCTTTTCCTTTTCCATATTTGTAACTCTCTCTGAGAACAGTAATGACCCTGACTCCCATTATCTATAATGCATTTGCTTATTTAAGTAATACTAGAATACATAGTTTCGGAATCCTCCATCCACAGCACTTTTTTTTTTTTTTT